AGAAGCGCATTCATCCACAATCCCATTAGAAGGTACAAACATATATGGAACACGATTGTATGCTGAGGGACTGAGTAGGCCTACAATGCAGGCAGCGAGGAGACGGACGGGTCCAAACTGCAATACGAGGGGTGAGCCGTACACCTACGCTTCTCAACTCCACGTCATTTTCAGCCACACAACCCTCGTAAGACACACACACACACACACACACACACACACACACACACACACACACACACACACACACACACACACACACACACACACACACACACACACATACACACACACACACACACAAACACAAAGATTGAAAGGGGAGCAGGGAAACATGATTATGTCGAAGGCCTTTTCCCTTTGGTGCTTCCTCAGGTATATACGAAAGGAGGTATGCCCTGGGGAATGTTGGAATCGGCTGATACGTCGAAAGCATTACCTATGTAACACTAAATAACTACTATTACTACCTTGCGAATGAAGGTGACGAAATTAAAAGATTTAGATCTATATATGTGCCTTTTCGATTTTAGTGCATGAAATTAAATATAGAGTGGATCCATTAACCAAGATTTAGCAATAGTACTATAAACGTTATAGTTCGATGTTATTGTTAGTATTGCCGAGGGGAAGGCAAGTTCCCTCATCGGTTGTTTTAGCACTATCTCTTTATTTTGCTACTATTTCTGTTATTGTTATAATGAATATCACGTTCAAGAAAGCAATTCCACATAATTTGTATTGTCATTTCTATTATGTAACACCATAATATGCCAGGATCATTATCAGCATCGATACTTTTATCACCATTGTAACCGCCATTAAGATCATGGTCAACCTTCACCTAGGATCACTAATATCACCATCAACTTCAACACAAGCACCATCAGTAGCAACAATACAGCACCATCACCATTAGTATAACCATTCTCAGCTGTTACTTTCAAGGATAGTGTATAGCTAAGATTTTAACAGATTATGAAAAGGTAATATTACTTACTTAACCAGTACCGTGACTTCTTTTGCTATAACCTTTAAGGCATTGATAAAACCTGGAGTAGAAATTTTGCCAGTTCTACCTTCAACTAGAGCCTGTCAAAAGCATACATTGTTCAAATAATTGTATTATACACACAAACGTATGTGTATAATTTGAACATTTTATACATCAGTATTACGAATATGTCGATGTGTAAGTGTTTGTGTGTGTGTGTGTGTGTGTGTGTGTGTGTGTGTGTGTGTGTGTGTGTGTGTGTGTGTGTGTGTGTGTGTGTGCGCGCGTGTGTGTGCGCGTGCGTGCGTGCGCACGTGTGTGTGTGTGTGTGCGTGTGCGCGTGCGTGCGCGCGTGCGTGCGCGCGTGCGTGTGTGTGTGTTTACATAGTCTGTTTATATATTTATATCTATATACATATTCATCTATTATACATATTTTTATCTATCTACATATTTTTATCTATCTACATATTCATCTATGTAAATATCTATATATTTATTTATCTATCTATATAACTACCAATCGAGCTATCTATTTGTCTGTCTCTCTATATCCCATTCACATATCGATCACCTCTTTCTTAATGTCCTCCATAAGAGTACGAAGCTCCTCCTCGGGCGGCAGCTCGACTTTGTTCAAGCGCGCAGCTCTTTGGAGGACGAGCATCGCGTCGTCGTAGCGGCCGCGCACGATCAGCCAGCGCGGCGACTCGTCGATGAACCTACGGCGTCAATACATTTGTTATCCTGGGTAGTGTGTTTGTGTGCGTTCTTGTTTATATTACACAGATACACAAATAAAATTTGGGAGGCATTCCTCAGTCTCCTCCAGGGTGCAATGGCAATCTCACTAACCAGAGCGCCGGCAGGAAGAGCAGGGCGGGTAGGGAGAACGTGAAGCAGAGCCAGCGCCAGTCCCGTAGGAGGTAGCCGTACCCTCCGAGGGCGATGTTGCAGAAGGCCCACGGGAGGAAGATGAGGATGCCGGAGGCTGCCCTGTGCTTGGGTTGGTTCACCTCCATGGCTTCGAGGGGGAAGTGGGGGTCTCGTTAATTGGGTATTATTGCGGCCCTCTCAGGGGAGGGGGGGACGGGCACTCAGAAATAAGCGCACAGATCCCCTATGTGTCACAGGATTTGGAAACAGTGAAAATAGTTACATTTGTTTAATTATTGCTATTATTGTTTAATTATTGCTATTATCATTGTCATTAACATCTGTATCATCTTCTGGCTACGATCCTTATTATCATTTTTACCACTCTTGTTCTCCCATCATCATTATCACTATCTTATTGTCATTATCATTATTGTTATGGTTTTGAATAATTTTTAAGTCACAGTTTCCCTTGACTTTACTGATGATTTTTTAAACACTGTTTCTTTGATAAAAACAGAATAACAATAATAATAATATTGTTACTATTAACATTTCCATTATCATCAGAGATATTATTGTCATAATTATCCTATCTAGTAGAGAATGACAACAAAAAAGATACAGTAACGCATATTCGTGAACTAGGGTTTAAACTATTCAATGCTACAGACCTGACATTACTGCCTAATATCTCAGTACACTTTTGTGTAGTATATTATTTTTGTCTATAATATTTGACATTCTATAGTGCTTTTGTTATTGACGTTATTCTCGTCATTTAATTATTACCGTCGCAGCATTATTGTTGGCATTGTTATCTATCTATCAATATAAACATCATTGCCATTACGCCTGCAAGGTGTAAAAGTTCACAGGGCAGGAGCGCACAACGCAGGATGCGAACAGAAGGAAGCCGTATGGGCCCAGCACGAAAATTCCGCACCGCCACATTAACAGCTCTTGGCTTGGATAGGTGACTACTTTAGGAACAGAACAGCCAGAGTGAAGTTCCAGGGTCACCTATCGCAGCACTTGCCACTGGAAAATGGGACACCACAGGGTGGGGTTCTCAGTCCAACCCTGTTTAACGTACTTATGTCCTGTATCCTCAACATGAACCTCCCGTCGGGGTGCAAGATCGTCTCATATGCAGACGATCTTGCCATCACCGCCATTGGGACACAATGCCTAAGTAAAGCCCAGCGTTGTCTGGACCTTGTGTCCGAAGAGTGTTGCAGGACAGGACTTAAGATCTCAGCAGCCAAATCTAAGGCCATGGCTCTGGGAAAGCGAGTTCAAGGCACAAGTCTGAGGATCCAGGGAGTAGACTTGGAATGGGTCCCGGTGTTCCAATACCTTGGGGTATGGGTAGACCGGACCCTCTCCTTCCGGCAGGAGACCAAGTACCTGGTCGACCGATGCAAAGCAAGACTAAACGTCATGAGAGCAATGACTGGGAAACGCATAGGAGCCAGACACAAAGTACTAAGAGCCTTCTATGTACATGCTGTCAGGCCCATTGTGGATTACGCCTCAGTCGCCCTAATTGGCAGAAAGAAAAAATACTGAGAAAAATTGGAAACAGTCCAAAATGAAGCTGCCAGAATCATTCTGAGTGCCCTGAGGTGGTCAAAGGTTCCCAACCTCCTGATGGAGGCCAACCTTTTCCCCCTGGACTCACGAATCGATCAAATGGCAGCCAATTTCTTTGCAAAGGTCATCCAGGCTCCCAGGAACACGAGCCTAAGAGAAAAATTAGTCAATGACAATGAGCTCTTTGCCAACAGCACATGGCTGTCCCACACAGCCAGGGTGTTGATAAGCTTTGAGTTCAAAGAACAACTCCTGACCAAGGGCATGGACTCCCCCCACCCTGACTTTATCGAAGCCCCGCCGTGGGCACAAAATTCGATAGAGTTCTCGGTCATGAGATTACCGCTCAAAAAGATTGAATATCTCACGCCTGGTCTAAAGGCAGAGACCTACAGGGTCATATCAGCCATCACCTCCCCGGGTAGTAGAACTTACTACACGGATGGATCGGTCGATCCAGCCAACCACACTGCAGGCGCCGGCTTCGCGGCAAGGGATGCCATGCGCTCCATGAGGGTATCAGACAACGCCTCCTCGCTACAGGCAGAGGCCGTTGCGATCATGGGAGCCCTAGCCCACGCGTCCCCAATGGGAGGACACGTAGTCATACATACTGACTCTAGGGCAGCCATTGACTCTCTCAATCTCAGCTCACCCAAAGACAATATCTACCTCCTGACCACAATACTAACAATAGCCCAAAGAATACTGGCTCAGGGTAGAAGAATCATTCTCAACTGGGTCCCTAGCCATATTGGCATCAGAGGGAACGAACTTGCTGACAGACTAGCAGTCTCTGGCAGGGGTATGCCCCCTAGTCCCATGATCATTGCACCTAGCCGTAATTTCCTTCGGAAGAAGAGTACTGGTGTCACCAACTCCTTCCTCCTGCAGCTTCACAGAGAGGCAACAAGATCCTCCCCCTCAGCCAGATGGTATTCAGAAGCAACGGGCTATGAACCTCTGGCACTCTCTGAGTTAAAAAACAGACAAACCGAAGTCATTCTCCACAGAATGCACCTAGGTTACCACTGTAAATGGCAGATAATTAAGACCATTGTCCGTGAAGAGAGGTGTTGCATGCATTGCGGCGAGCCGAACGCCACACTTACACATTACTTAGAGAATTGTGTACACACACAATTCCTGAGACAGGGACCCCCAACAACAGCCGCCGTGCTGGTAAAGAGACTTTGTGATTCGCTTACCCCGTGGCAGCAGGAGCGCCTGCTGGCAATCCCACCGCCACGGTAAGCACCGAGTGCCATAGAACGAAATGAGTCAGCCCTAAAAAGCTGACACAGGCCGGGCCATAGCCGAAGGCCCGGGCAAAGCTAGAACTTCGCAAATCACAATCGCATCGCCACATTAACGACACACTCGCTCTGCGTCTGGCATGCAGTGACTCCCATCTGGAGAAGAGACCGCAGTTCTTACTTCCTTATCTTTGTCCCTTGCCAGAGCAGAGTAAGTCCCGTCGAGGACGACAGTGGGTGAGTGTGCGAGCGGTCTGAGTGGTCAAAAGCCTTCATTGTTACGTCCTTTAACGAGCCGTATAGACCTGAGCCACGCCCACATCTGTCATGACAACGGAGGGTGTCGCTTCTTTCAAGCTTGCGACACGAACTCCAAGCCTCCAATAAGAATCTCCAGCTTGACCACACCCTCCAAAAACAACTGTAGTACGCAAATTCTTCCTTTCTTTTTCTTTCCCATGTGTGCATGCCGTTACGTTTTCAACAAGTGCAGTTATTTTTTTTCGAACGTCTGAGCAAGTCTCTGTGCTAGTGATTTTTTTTAACTCTCTCTCTATTATCTACCATGTTATGTCTTATACAACTTACTGCCACGTGGGTTATCTTATCGGCCGATCAACTGTCTCATGAGAAGCTGACCCGATCTGCTTGCATCATGCGTTGCTCTGCAAACTTTGTCTGTTCAGTGACAGACTTGTAACCATTTCATTAATTCCACTTAACAAAATTATTATCATTTCTGTGATTTCACAGTAGTTGATATAATGTTGCAATTATCATATAGTAGTACCCTATATTGCCATAATCTATGAATATTTTTGTTTTTCGTGCAGTCAGATTGGTATCTATTTCCCTTGCATACTTGCATTTTCCCACCCTCGCTTATATACCCCCATCTCACCCCGCTACTACCCTACTTCGTATAAGTCAGATGTATATTGTATGCATTATTGCACAGCATACTGTTGACCTTCGCGTTGTTGCATTTTTTTCTCCAAGGAAGTTTGTCGTTCAAGATTGTCTATGCAACAACTTTTTTTTTTTATATATAGTTATGCACAATGTTTATTTCGTGTAGAGTTTCACTCCTGTCTATCCTGAGACAATTGCAACTCAAACAAGTCCCTGCGGACTCCCTAAGCATGTTCCTCGGTTTATCTCTTGACAGGTGATTTACTATAAAAAAATATTATACAAATGATAATTCATTATAAAAATCTTGAATATTAGTCTCATTGCAATATATTTGATTATATATTACATACGGACCTTATTGTCATACAAGCCTCAACTTCCCCTGTTCGCCCCCGACTCAGGATGCGAACAGAAGGAAGCCGTATGGGCCTAGCACGAAAATTCCGCACCACCACATTAACGACACACTCGCTCTACGAAACCGCAGTTCTTACTCCCTTATCTTTGTCCCTTGCCAAAGCATAGCAAGTCCCGTCGAGGACGACAGTGGGTGCGTGTGCGAGCGGTCTGAGTGGTCAAAAGCCTTCATTGTCACGCCCTCCATCTAGCAGGGGGTGACCAATAGGGCGGCGTGCACCATGGCACCGCCGCCGTACTGACCTGAGCCACGCCCACATGACCTCTGATCGCTCGCTACCTTGCCCCGGACAATCACTGTCTCCTCCCGGGGCCACCCTCCAGGGCCCCCTGACATTCCGGGTCTAACCGCTGCCTATGTCTACTTCAGCACAAGCCGGTTATTTGGTATCCTCACGCTACGCTACAATCCTCCTTCACCAATAATAAATATTTCAAGCAGACCGTGAGTTTCCGTCAACCAAAACCCTGACAAATTGGTGGACAGCAGTGACAACAAAAACTCACATATATTCTGGCAATGAAAAAGAAGTAAAAAGGAAAAAAATAATCCTTTCCCTAACCACAGACTAGATGATAGAACAAGGAAACACCATCGAAGCGCAAGTAATGAGATAGAAAGATAATGAAAGATCAGGAAGAACACAGAGAAAAGAAGATTAATGAACATTAAAAAAGGGCATGTGTTAAACGAGTTTTTTTATCTGTTTTTAGGTTGAAGTGGTAAAAAATGAACAATAAGATATCTTTTTGTCAGAAGATGTTGATTTTCCTGGAATTTACTTCGTAAATAATCCTTTCCCTTAAAAAAATGCGTGTACAAATTCTAACTTATAAGCAGGGTCTTACACGGCAGTTCGTGGAGAGAAGGGGACCCCAGCGACTAAGTAGGAAATGGGATTCGATATTCGCTTCTTTGGAAAGGGTAATATAATCAATTATGGCTGATGGCTATACAGTTTGGTACTAGCCAATTGTATATCTCAATGTTAAAACTCTCATCCGGTGTATTTAGCTTTTTCTATTTATCTTTTTTTTTTGTTGATCTCCCAGATATGAATAACTAAAAGTCAATATTCATTCATTCATTCATCTTCATTGCTAATTTATCCATTTGCCTTTTCTGTCTGTTCGTCTTGAAACTGCATTTAAAAGACAAAGAGAAAATCCTAGACCTAAAATTGTATTACACACGTAGTTTGATAATTACTCTAAACTATATTTTAACTCTAATTTACTCTTTTCTTCACTAATAATTGGTGGGGATTGGGGAAGTTCAGATTAGTAGCGCGGGTCGAAGGCTAACGTAACCATAGTCAGATCAAGACTACTAAAGGAATAGTCATGCGAGTATTTTTTTTAGCAATCCAGTTGTGATAGAATCCGCCGTTCAAACCATCGCCAATCCGCTCGATTTCGATATAGGTAAGCTCCTTTGAGGAACTT